TCCATTCACGCCATTCACACGTCTTAAGACATTCAAACGCATTGTCTTTCATGTATTCAATCGCTTTTGCCTTCAGTTCATTGTTTCCGTATTTGTCCATCACTTCCATTACTTCAAACGCATTCTTTGGGTTTATTCTCAAGAAATACAAATTCTCGCAAATAGTCTTCAGATCGGAGACCATGTATTTGTTGGACACGTAAAGCAGTTCTTTGACCATATCTTCCAATTGTTCTGCTTTTCCCAAATACAAGAATTGGTGGAACTGTTTGAAGACATTGGGATCGATGTCATCGATCACCGCAACACCGGTTGTCTTCTCCAACATATCAGCGGTAAACTCGCGGTCAAACACATCCGACTCAGCGCTCAGAATGGCTTTGGAGGCGTAGAAGGGTTGGTCTCCGACAATAAATCGAAAGTCACTCAACAATTTGTTATTATAGCTCTTCTCGTGTCTCCTCCTAAGCGGCCATTCATTGTACGCCTTTAAGGGCGTAAAGATATCGAAGTTAACGGTGAGTGTATTGTTGGGCAAGTATTTGTCCAATTGATCCAAGAGTTCCGGCATTTTGTCGAATGTTCTGTTGCCAATCCAGTCCCCCATCTCTAATAGATCCGTACCGCTAAATGTTTCGCCCAGTGGTTGGCCATCGATGCCCACAATGGATGCCTCGAGTGTTGTGCGAAACGTCTGACCAGTACTACGAATATTTGAATTCATGATTTGGCCGAAAACGCCGAGATATGGACAGTCGCCGACGCTTGCAATTCTGCAATAGACCCGCCATTCCTCTGATCCGATGCTAAACGGATCGCTCACCACATCTCCGGCGTCGAGTTCGCGAAAGTTGTTCACTTTGAACGTCACTTTTGTCTTCACTTGTCTTTCATCAGTTGATGCCATGATTTAGTTGTCGATCGCATGTGAAGTAACTTTTCAAATGCCATTAGATTTTATACCAAAACTTTTGTTATTTTAATTACTCATTACATATGTTTTATATTTTCACTGATGGGACAGTTAAGTGAATGGGAAATATGATATAACAATCATTTAAAATAAGTATAAAACAAAGGGCGGAGACTTTGATGACACCATCACTACAAGTATAGGACAATCTTCTCCTGTTCTCACTATTGCGGTACAAATAACTCTTCGGCTGTGATCCACGTCGAGGGACATAAGCTTAGGATTATTGGTTTGGATACCGTTAACAACGCACCCGCTTGTGATAAATGATGGCCACCGACAGCACCGGTAGAGCCATAGACAGCACTCATACAGACAGACAGTCCTACTAATCATTTATCAATTTTATAAATGTTTAAAATTTTATATAATTGTCTCAAAAATCCCTTTAATGAGTGAATTGCGAAATAAAATACATATTTATCTATAATATAACTAATGGTTTGGTCAGTGAAACGTCCGGTCAGTCTCGACGCCCGTATCGATGGCCAGAATTGAGGCACACTTTCTGTTGCATAGAGACAGCGCTTAACACACGCTAAAAATGCATAGTTTTAATGCTTAAAGTTTTGTGACTTTTGTTTCACTTCAATTAAATTTTGTAAAAATAGTTGTTTTAATGCATTATATTTTTAATTGTGTATTAAATATTAAATTTATTATAGAATAAAGCTTCCTAAATATAAAATTAAATAATAATTAGTTTTATATTTCAAATGCATTTTTGTGGCAACTTTTGAGACCTTGCATTCATGAACTGTTTAATACAATACAATACATTGCATCTGTATTTGTCATTTGTTTATTTAACTAATGATTTTAATGTAAAAAATTCCACCAAAATTCTTGGTTTTTTGCATTAGATTTCAAATTTAGGATTTAATGAAAGTAATGTTTAAAAAGACAGAGGTTTCAGATATACAGTACAAAATAGACCCACAATTTATAAATACATAGAAAAAACTATTGAAATCATAAACTAGTAAATTAAATGCAAAGATGTGTTTGTGATCAAAGTGTGAATACTTTAATAAATGTTGTTTTAATACATCATTGCGTGAGTTATGGACCGATCGTATGAGTCGATCAAATGTGGGCTTATGTTCGGCCGAAAGCAGAGACCGATTGGCGCCGCAGTCGCGGAACAGCCGGTGATTCAGATGATGGACAGCAATGGCGTACAGCAGAGGGCTGTCCACTGGTGTGAGAGCCCCACAAAGTAATGATTTTAACATCGCTTCCAGTGTTTGACAATCGCTTTCAATGGGAGACAAGAAGTTGTATTAAAATCTGTGTTAATAAAGCCGACGATTATTACATTAATAGTTAAATTCAAAGTCAAAATCTATTGATAGAAAACCTCTTCAAATGATATCTGAATTATGCGAAAATCTATCGGAACCACCAGATAATTGATGAACAGTTTTTTACCATATCTTATAACACAAACTGAAATGAGATATGTTTTGTAAATTATTTAATACATTTGTTTATTTATATAGTTTTATTTAAAAGTACTGAAAAGTAGTTTATCTAATTATATAAAAAATATTATTTCAAATGCAATATTGTTGAGGTCTTTCATATAAATATGATTAACAGCAGATTTCTTATGAATATTTTATATTATAAATTATAATTTTAAAAATCAACAAAAATTATATAAACGTTTTGAAAATTATATAAAATTTTAGGCATTTTTACATTTCATAATTACTATCAGGCAACCAATTCTAGGACCACTATCTTTAGGTTAAAGTAAATATTATTGTAATGAAATAGCATTAACTGTACTAAAGCTTGATATCGTGTATTGACTGGTATTGACTCACAGATGGTGTGTGTGTTGACTTTTTCCTAAAGATAAAGGTCCTATAATTGGTTGCACATATAGTTAAAACAAAACTATATGGAAAACTATATCTATATTGAAGTAATTTTAAAGTAATATAAATACATTATGTTTTAACAAAAACAAATTATTGACAAAATAGTGTTTGAAAATGTTATCAAATGATCGGTAATTAAATACGAGACATGATTCACACCAAACCAAACAAGAATTGCTTTTAAAACACAGTATTTTAATTAGTAATTGAAAATATGATATTTAGTTAATTATAATCACATATCAAATTAAACGTATAAAATAACGGAATACATATTTAAAATACTTTGTGTAAAGTATTTGAATTAATTCAATAGTAATAGAAAAACATGTTTATAGATCATTAAAATATTTATTTTCATATAACAAATAATTTTATTGAGAAATTAACTAAAATTTAATTTAAAAGACATTGAAAAACATTCAAAATTTGAATCAAAAATATAATGAATTATAATTTAATTAAATATTGTTTTAATTCATAAAAATTGAATATAAAATTGAATTGAAATTGAATTATTAGACTAATAATGATGTGATGATTGAGCGCTTAATTGGTAAGAAAATAAGTATAGGATATCATTTGTTCCCAAAGTTTGGTTTTGAGATCAGTCTTCAGATGAGCGACCATTTGGTCAATTAGTGTCTTATTATTGCCCAAAATTCTATGCAATTGAGTCTTACGACATTCAAAGAGTATATTTTGGGTAAAAGTAAATATTTATATAAAAGCATTAATTATAATAAAAATCGTGGAAATATTATTAAAACTATGACTAAAATTAATGCTAAAGTTATCGATTATTAAATAATATATAAAAATATAGTAAATTCAATTATAATTAATAAAATGGGTTGAATTAAAAGTACGCATAAAATAGGCTATTTGTATGTAAACATCATTTGACACCGGGTTTTAATCAATATTTAGGCATAAAGTACTTTATACGTAAATCAAGGGCAGGTATATATTTACATGCATTTACATTAAATGCACAAATTAATTATTTATTACCCTGAAGAATGTCTTAAGCCTTATACAGTAATAGCTTGTGGTCTAATAACAATATTCATAAATCTATAGTTTGTGCGGACATAAAAACCGATCCCTTCTTTACTGTCCAGAGCTTTATATACGTCTTCAACGGATGAAACCATTTCATGATTGATATGTGTTATAATATCTCCCGGTTTGAGACCTTTTCTATTGAGAAGACAATAATCATATAATTAATTACAAGTTATGATTCGCATGTAATGTACACTTACTGGTGCGCGGGTGAGCCCACCATCACTTTCCATACAAGTATACCGTTCTTCACATTCGGGGAATTGTCACGTAATTTCAAGTCATCGATCAGTTCCGGTGTCAACGATAACATAGATATACCGATATATCGATTCCGTTTAGACAATGTCCCGGCGCTCTCGTCGTTGTCTGCCTCCTGTTTATATCGATTCGTTCTTTCGATAAATTCTGTAAATATTGAAAAACAATTATTGAAAAATGAAATGCAATTCAATGAAAACCTTTGGCATAATTGCTGGGAATGGCAAACGCTATGCCATGCGTGCCATCCATAGCCCCTTTATGAATGCCGATGGCCTCGCCGTCCAAATTAAGCAAAGGTCCGCCAGAACTGCCCGGATTAGTGGCCGCATCGGTTTGGATAAAATCAATGTCCTTCATAGGTGTGTCCCAATTCAAGTCACGCGACTTTCTTCGCAACGAAGAGATCACTCCAACACTGATTGTATTCATCATTGATTTGGGATTTCCTATCGCTATAACCCAATCGCCGATACTTGAGTTGTAAGTGTCGCCCAGTTTTATGTAGGGGAAGGTCTCGGCACTGGTCTCGAGCCTAACTAATGCCAAATCGAGTGTCGCGTCGACGAACTCCACCCGACCCGTCAGTATTTGGCCGTCAAATAATGTAACCGAAACGACCGAAGCGTTGGCCACGACGTGAGCGCTGGTTAGTATGAGACCCGACGGGTGGACTATAAAACCGGATGCGGACGAATCCGAGACATTCATCTCAGGATCAAAATGAAGACTTCCCTTCAAATTGATGGCCACTACAGCCGGAGACACTCTTTCGGTCACATTAGCGATAATATTGACTTTTCTGCCCGACATTACCGGAAACGATGGTTCTTTGTCATCGCTATTCAATAAAAGGTTAACTCTTCTTATGGACACAAACGGTGATAATAAAGGCGTTAAACACTTATTAAACGAATCAAACAAATTATATCTTTTATAGAGACAATCGTTGCGTTGAAAGTACTGATAAAACTTGTTTGATGTATCGCATGATTTGATCCAATAAACGGATCCAATGGTGAGTGTAATGAAAGCGAGACAATAGTTGATTGAGTGATGAAGTGATGGACGAGTTGTTGTCCGAAATGTTTGTCTGACAACCAGTGATCGTGAGGACAGAGACCGAGCCATCGGTGGGTTAGAGTTGGGTTAGCTCTGGTGGTGGCAAAAGCGTTAGACTGACTGATCAAAGGCTTATTATATGTTGAGGTCCTTTTTGACGCCTCTTCTTATGATAATGGTAAAAATATTGTAATTCTCCCGCAGAGAGTTGTGTATTAATTCAATGCTCACATAAACTTCAGCTTAAAAACACTAGTTTTAGCGTTAAAACACAAATTCCAAGCCATAGCGCAGTTGTGTTGAGTATTGGGTTATAAGAGTATACGTTTCTAAGGAATCGGTAGTGCCTTAGGCTATAAGTTATGGTCAGATATTGTTCACAAAGGGTTACCTCAATGTCATGCAATCTATTGTGAGCCCCCATTGATTAACAATGTTGTGATTTTGAATCAGTTATTACAAAATCAATTATTTTTTATTGAATATCTATAAAAATGTTTAATGAAAAATAAGTTTTTAAAATACGAAAATATATATTTTTAAAATATTTAAATTCTATCTAATAATTGAATTATAATATTATTTATAAAATTTGCGATAAGTCAATGAAATATTGAATACTTAATTACTAAATGTTTTGACGAGTAGTTTTCTTAAACATACTGAACGTTAACGTAATAACTGATAAATTGTAAAACTAATGTTTTATGCCTTAAAAATACAAATAACTGTTTATTGAATTACAATTAATATTTAAGAGGAATTGATTTCAAAGAATGTAAAAATAAATTCTTTAATACAAAAAATATTTGTTGAAAACCAAAGCCAAAAATAAAAGTTATATCATATAACAGTAGTAAACGATAAGCCTTTGAAAACAATAACTTATTGTCAATAAATTTGACAAAAATATAAATACAAATTATAATTAATTAGATTTAAATAGTGTTATGATAAAAATTAATATTTTATTATTACTTTAGATATAATACAAAATCAGTTTACAATTTATTAATTCAAAAATAAATCATAAACTGATAGCCAATGAAAAGTTATGTTTGTAATCAAAGTGTGAATACTTTAATAAATGTTGTTTTAATACATCATTGCGTGAGTTATGGACCGATCGTATGAGTCGATCAAATGTGGGCTTATGTTCGGCCGAAAGCAGAGACCGATTGGCGCCGCAG